CAGGGGCTCAAGTGGAAAGTGGGTGTCGTAAGAATGATGAAGTCAACATATGTACTAAAGTGCTGGACACAGATGACGTATGTACAGATTGTGATGAGTTGTATGAGCCCCTAATAAAATGATTATTTAAAAAAAAAGAAAAAGAAAGAAAAGTGCTTTCACATTCAAGAAGCCAAGGGTTGAAGTTCTGGCCCTGCCACGGAAAAACTGTGTGACATTCCCAAGTGCTTTAGCTTCTCTCAGTCTGTTTCCTGTAATGTGGGAACTAGGCTGGACTCTCTAAAAAAACAGAGCTAGTGAAGCTTATTGATGTCGACATACAGAAAGATTCATCTTACGGAAATGGCTCACACCACTTTACAGGTTAGCAAGTTCCAAGTGGGTGGGTCAGACTGGATGTCAGACCGGAGGCTTCTCCTGACTCAGGTAGTTGTAGTGGCTGATGAACCCAAGGTCAGTAGATCAGAAAACTGGTTTCTTGCTCTAAGTTGAGTCAGTCCAAGGCCAGCAAGTAAGATGGCAGATGATTCCCGGGATCAGTCATGCAACAGGCTGCTGGCTCAAGTCCAAAGAACTTGAGCATTCAAATGAAAAGCCAGATCCAAAAAAAGCAAGCCAGCTTTGCCAGGGTCTATATACTAGGAGGTACACACCCACACACTCACACAAAAATTGTGCTGGATGGAGCTGAGCTTCGTAGCACACATTTTTCCTGCTAGGTTAGTATCCAACTCGCTCTGAGTTAGTGCACCTGGTGGCATCGCCTGGGAAGATTTTCGTTGGTCACAGTGAATTTTTTTCGTGAAAGCAGTTTCGCTCAAACCTCAATTTAAGACAACAACACTTGACTGTGAAATTTTGTTTCCTGCTCAGGAAAAATGCCTCAGAAACTCTTGTGATGTTGAACACAGCTTACAAGGACAGCCCTATGGGCAAAACTCACGTGTACCAGTGGTTTTCTAGTTTCAGAAAGGGTGAAATGTCAATTGATGAAAAACCTTGTTCTGGACATCCATCAACTTCCCCAAAGAACAAAAATGTCAACTCATAGAGCATTTGGAGTTTGTTCCACCAGGTCAGACTGCTAATCAAATTTTCTATTTAGAGCAGTAGTTCTCAACCTTCTTAATGCCACGACCTTTTAATATAGTTCCTCATGTTGTGGTGACCCCCCCAACTGTAAAATTATTTTTGTTGCTACTTCATAACTATAGTTTTGCTACTGTTATGAATCAGGTGACCCCTGGGAAGGGTCATTTGAGCACCAAGGGGTCACGACCCACAGGTTGAGAACCACTGATTTAGAGGTTCTGCGTAACAGTGTGCCACAAAAAAGGGCCTGATTTGTGGCGCACGGG